TTATATCCGGATGTGCATGTGTTTTGAGAAACGAAGAGGCAGATATATTAGGTGATTCTACATCACTTGGCGAAGTCGTACGTGTCACCGCCCTCTGGGAGCGAGCGAACAATGGATACGCACGAACAGATTATCACTGCCTGGAGAGAATGCTGCTGTGGGGGAGTGACCAGTGGATCTGGCAGACGATCAACTCTTTCTTTCTTCTCTATTCTGAGGTTTTGAACAACATCATGGCGTGCGAGTGTAACCCACAAGTGCTCCGTTCTTCTTCTAACTCAAGTCTGAGTCCGAAGAAGCTTAGCACGCTCAACACTCCAAGGAAAGGCAAGACGGACATATAATCAAACTGCTCTGGAATCACTGACAACGGAAATCTACACTGACTGCTGAAGTTGGGTGCAGAACGTTTATGGCAATGTCCCTATTGCTTCGATGACAGTTCATGAAACAAAAATCACTTATAGTGTCCTCCCTATGAATTTTTCTATCTCTATAACGTTATTTTAAAAAACTTGTTACGGGTTAAAAATATATATTAATATATTCAACTTTTATTTTCGCTTTTAAAGTTTCTACATAGATCGTCTCCAGGAGGTCAACTTACGCAGGAAAACCGACCTTGACCTAACTCATCCCAATGCCGTTTACAAGGTCATCAAGAGATTCGCGTCTGCTTACTCCCCGCTAATGAACGAGAAACTGGGTCAGTCATTAACTCCTTTCTGTGATTAATCTTTTATTTAGTTATATGAAAACGACCAGGTCAGGTCGTGGTGAGATACGACTGAGCTACCGTATAACAGTAGTCGGCACAACCTGTCTTCTGTTAACGCCGAATGTTGGGAAGCGCATACCAAACCTAACATCCCATATTGTGCCAACAGCTTCGGGCGGAGGAGCGCATTGGGAAGGAAACTAGCCTTATCCTAGGAAGAGATATTGCAACCTAAAAACTTTATGTTATGGCAGGGCAGACCAGGCCCTTCGCCTTGGCTGGCAGCTGGTCTAGTAGGGAAGCTCCGACAGGCGGACAAACAGAGCACTGCTCTTTTGACCCGACAGCTTTTTCAGCCTGCTTTGTTCCAAAAGTACTGGTGTTACCTTTCTATCGGAGTAAACAAGGCAGGCTGAGAGGGGATCATGATGCATAGTCTCTATGATACTGCCCAAGGAGAGTCCCACGCCTCCTCAAAGCACAATATATCCCAATTATCTGGAAAGACGGAACTGTGCCAACAACAACTGAGATAGAAACACGAGGAACTGACCCTACTGTATTATTTATCGTATATGTGTATATGTATTAAACGGCGACTATCAATTGCTCTTTAAAGACTAAAACAACTGAATAAATTATGGAATTGTACAGATAGAACTACAAAGGTCAGATTTTTAAGAGCATGCATCTTTCCCATTGCAACATACGCCTGTGAGACCTGGACACTTACTAAACAAGCGGAACAGCGCATAAATGCATTTGAATATAAATGTTACAGACAGGTTCTAAGAATATCTTGGGTAAAGAAAAGAACAAATGCATCCATACTTCAAGAGCTGAATATTGAAGAGGGTTGGCTAGTAAAGACAATAAAACAAAGAAAATTGAAATATTTTGGTCACTTGAAACGTCATGGAAGTCTAGAGAGAACAATAATGGAGGGGTATATGCCTGGGAAGAGAGGAAGAGGAAGGCCAAGGAGAAGATGGGTGCAGGATGTGGCAGATGATCTCCAGATGGGTGTATCAGACGCAGGACATCTTGCTCAGGATAGGAAGGTTTTCCGGAGGGTTGTTATGGCAGCGAGGTTCCGCGAGGGACATGCTACTGAATGAATGAATATGTGGTGAGGTTAGAAAAACGGCAGACGTAAAATATCCCATTCTTCTCCTTGTTAATCTTCTGCCATGTATCCTCCAATGAACTTCACGCGATCTGCTAACCAGCATCAAGTCGTCCTATTCTTTGATATCGCCTGCAGCTCATCCAATTTCGTCCCGTATCAGTGCTTCTCCGCCAGCTTTATTCCTTAGACCAAGCAGGGAACTCTGCAATAAGATTATCATCCTTATCTTGTACAGTGTCTATCCCGAGATTTGTCTGTGGTATGTGAAATCCGTTCCATGGATAATATTCGAGCATCCTATCGCTTCAGACTTTCAGGCATTGTCTCTCTTGGACTGCCTCTGTCTGTCTTGTCTATCGTTGATCTTTCCAGTCACCTGGATGTTCTCAATGCATCTCTTTTCATTACATGACCGAACAGTTACTGCCTCAGTTACATTGAAAACATTTTTCCAGTGCGATGTTCTCTAGCGCCTCTCTGCTAATCACAGGACAGAAAAACCACTGCCTCAATTCCAGTTCGGGTTTTTTTTTTTATGTGTTACCTACCATAAACATAGGAGTCGCCGTGGCCGAGCGGCTAGACGCTCGCCGCGGATCTGAAGGTCCCTGGTGGAGCCGGATTTTTTTTTCAAAAATGACCTTGGCTCCCAGGTCGACCCAGCCTTGAGTAGGTACCTGGTGCAGTCCCGGGAAAGTGAAAGCGGCCGGCGTGATACTGACCACATCACCCATCTTGTGCCGATTGGTCTATAAAAATATAGGTCTAGCCCTATATGCCCTATACGCCTTAAGGCGTGGAAAAGGGTCCTGTATTTTTTTTTACCATAAACATAAACAGTTGAAAAAATTTTGGGTCGTCTCGTTGATACCAGGTCATAGTCCATCCAGTGTCGTGGTTTTTTGTATTTATCTTGCGCTTCTCGGGTGGTTTGGGTGGTGGATTTGTTAATATTTTTACGAGTTTCAGCTACATCATTTATCCATCTCTTTCTTGGTCTTCCCCTTGCCTTCCTCCCAGATGTTCTGCTGTTAAAAAAAAAAACTCCTATGCAGTTTGGTGTGGTTATAAACTCACTAAATAGCTGAACCATTTCATTTGTTGTCCGTCAATATAATTTTAAAACTGCCTTTATTTCCAATGTTCTCTTTAATGCTGGTATTCGTAACCCTGTCTATTCTTGTGTAGTTAGTAATCTCACAGAGACAGCGCATTTCACATTTAGTTATTTTCTATTCTAGTGCCTTATTCAAAATTAGAATTTTGAGAGCATGCATCTTTCCTGTGGCTACATATGGATGTGAGTCGTGGACTATCTCTCAGTCCTTAAGCTGAAATGCTAAAGAAAGATTCTCAGAATATCTTGGACAAAGAAGAGGAGAAATATTGACATCTTGAAAGAACTGAACATCCTGTCTCGGAAGCTGAAATATTTTGGACATATCAAGCGCCACGACGGATTGGAAACTATTATAGCAGAAGGCATGGTACCAGGAAGGAGGGTCAGTGGCCGACCGACACCAAGATTGGCACAGGATATAAGTGACTGCTTGAGTATGAAAGTACATGAGGCGGGAGAACTTGCGAACTTTCAGGCAGACTGTGATGAGAGCAACGTTCTGCAAAGGACCTGCTACATGATGATGAGTGACTTATTCAGTGCCCATATTTCCAACTGTTAGATCTGTTTAGCGGATGTGCGCGCAACACTCCGGTTCTGGAACAAGACTAAAATTCAGAGGTAGACGAACAGCCAGAGCTTTCCAGCAGAGTTTACGGCAGATGAACGTGAAGGGGAAGAGACAATTTTATTGGTATTATTATTTTCCGGACAGAGAACTTCCGGATGGCTGTAGAGCAATCTCACCAGGCGTTTGTGGCGGACAGTAGCGATGTTCACGGAGCTAAACTCTCCCTATTAAGACTTCAGGTATATATGTCTTGTTTTGCTTTATCTCAGTTTGTTAATGTTATCTCATCACAAAAGATGTAGATCACTTCATCATCAAGTTATCATTAAGTCATCATTAAGTCATCATCAAGTAACTTGCCAGCTGACATAGGCGTTCATGCATCTGCCATATCTCGGTTCTTGATGTTCTGAATCAATTCCACTGATGATATTCCTGCATGCCACTGTCTTAAGCCATCTATCATCATCCATCTTGGTCTGCCTCTGCCTCTTTTACCAGCGAACTTACCCAGTCGTCACGATATTTTCCAGTGCTCCTCTTCTCATCACATGAAGAAAGAACTTTATTTGTCTCCTTCTCATTGTTCTATATAAGAAGATCACCTAACATTCAGAAATGACTAATCACCTAACAAGAACTATGAACCCAAAGAAGAATTGAGTCCGGTTTGCGCTGGGAAGGTTTTTGAGTTTCTCTCCCTGTGCGTCCTTCGTTGCTTAGTTGGCTTGTGCGCTAGGCTTAAGGATTGAAAGCCATCCCACAGCCTCCTCACACAATTTTTAAGACACGAAGGGATTTCAGAAGGGCTAAACCTGGTTTAAATGAATAATAATACACATATGTTCATACGTATACGCACACCATAGGGTTACATAACCTAGGAGCAGAGCCTGTTGAAGCGGCGTCCGTGGCTAAGGCGTTGCGAGTCCGACTCGCAATTCCAACGTACCACGATTGAAACCCACTGCTGGCTGCGTGGATTTTTATCGTGGTATGGGACGTCGCAGGTCGACCCAGCCTCAAATGGGCATCAGGGTGACTGTCCTGGGGAAGTAAAGACGGCCGTCGTAATGCTGACCACATTACCCACAGAGTGCCGATTGGTCTGTAAAAAATATGGGTGCTCTTCCCATATGCCCGATGCGCTTAAGGGCGTGTAAAGGGATCTTTGCTTTTATTTTTACTAGAGCGTGTTGAAGCACCTGTGTGCGGTCTTTGAGGTCAACATAGGAGACCTTAATCAGTCCCTTTTAAGAAACAAATAAGTGACGTACTTTGTGAAGGCTTTCAGGCGGGAGGATTTATACTGCACGTTAGCTTTCACGCGGGAGGATTTATACTGCACGTTAGCTTTCACGCGGGAGGATTTATACTGCACGTTAGCTTTCACGCGGGAGGATTTATACTGCACGTTAGCTTTCACGCGGGAGGATTTATACTGCACGTTAGCTTTCACGCGGGAGGATTTATACTGCACGTTAGCTTTCACGCGGGAGGATTTATACTGCACGTTAGCTTTCACGCGGGAGGATTTATACTGCACGTTAGCTTTCACGCGGGAGGATTTATACTGCACGTTAGCTTTCACGCGGGAGGATTTATACTGCACGTTAGCTTTCACGCGGGAGGATTTATACTGCACGTTAGCTTTCACGCGGGAGGATTTATACTGCACGTTAGCTTTCACGCGGGAGGATTTATACTGCACGTTAGCTTTCACGCGGGAGGATTTATACTGCACGTTAGCTTTCACGCGGGAGGATTTATACTGCACGTTAGCTTTCACGCGGGAGGATTTATACTGCACGTTAGCTTTCACGCGGGAGGATTTATACTGCACGTCAGTTTTCATCATGGCTACTTTTTTATAGTCTAAACCGTGTAGAGTTGGTAGTCAAGTCTACCAACAACCTTTTGTCTTCTTTACTTTCAGTCATTTCTGATACAGATGATTTTCCATACTGTGTGATGTTGGTAGTTATGTCTAACCACAACCATACGTCTCGTGAACTTTCAGTCAATTCTGACATAGATGATCTTCCATACCTTATGGCGTTGGTATTCATGTTTATCCACAACCTTCTGTCCTGTGAACTTTCAATCGCTTCTGACACAGATGATCCTCTATACTATGATGTCAAACTGCCCAGCATCTGTTCTCTTGGTCTTCCTCAGCCTCTTTCCCCCTCCAAGTTTGCTACTGTCACGATGTACTCCAGTTTTCTCCTTCTCATCACATAACCAAAGAAGGTAGATTGTCTCCCCCTGATGTGGGCAATCAGTTCTTTTTGTGTGTCAGTTTCTTTCAAGAAATCTTCATTACTCTTTTTATCTGTCCATGGTATTCTCAACATTCATCTATAAAACCACATCTCCGCAGTTGCCAAATAATGTTTCACTAATTGACCGAATGTCCATGATTCACTTTCGTGCATCAGGATATGATTTATATAGTTTTAAGAATTCCTTTTCTTGTCTTAATTGACAAAGAAAGATTACATAGAAAATTTTTAATTTTGTAACATTCTGCATTTTCTTGAGCTATTCTACATTGAACTGTTTTATTACGTCTTCCGTCTGATGATATCATGCTATCCAAGAACTGAAACCTTTTAACTTTCTCCGTTCGTCTCATATACTTTGAAATTGCATTTGGGAGGGTCCATTTTCTTTGTAATTACCACTATTTCTGTTTTTCTGCTGTTCGGACTAAGACCGTTCCTTTTACTTTCAAGGCTACTGGACATCTGATAAAAGGTTTTAAGATAGAAGGATCCAAGAAGAAGAAGCAGAAAACTTCAAGATATGAGCGTAAAATTGCTAGTAAAAACAGCCATCAAACACTGGGGTTGTGGTGCAACCTCCTGTAAATGCAACTAACTTTTATTATGAACATTTAACAAGAACACACACATTTAACAAGAACACATACATTTAACACGAACACATACATTAAACAAGAACACATACATTTAACAAGAACACATACATTTAACACGAACACATACATTTAACACGAACACATAATTTAACACGAACACATACATTTAACAAGAATACATATATTTAACACGAACACATACATTTAACACGAACACATATATTTAACAAGAACATATACATTTAACAAGAACACATATATTTAACAAGAACATATACATTTAACAAGAACACATATATTTAACAAGAACACATACATTTAACAAGAACACATACATTTAACAAGAACACATACATTTAACAAGAACACATACATTTAACAAGAACACATACATTTAACAAGAACACATACATTTAACAAGAACACATATATTTAACAAGAACACATACATTTAACAAGAACACATATATTTAACAAGAACACATACATTTAACAAGAACACGTACATTTGAAACATTTCAGAATATTTACAACATGAGTGCCCTTGATATGACAAGGGGAGACTATCTTGGGTACCAGGGACCACAACTCCAGGCTGTTGACGCATATGAGATTGGACAAGTGGCTTTCTCAAGTAAGACAAACATTTATTTCTGACTCCCCCACTGCAATATATCGATATCTTCTAAACCTCTGTGTTTATATTACTTTTGACTACATGAAATATCACCGATACTACAATACATCTACAGCGTTAGAACCTCTGTGTTTGATTACATTTGTTTCCATAAAATTTCACAGTACACTGTTATTGAAAATGATGGATGCACTTTTATTCAAGTATCTAATTTTGCCGTTCTTATTAGGATGTAATTTTTCGTTTATTGAAGCCCTACTCTGGCTTTTGCCAGGGGCCGCAATATAGCCTGGCCATAAATATGGCCTAAAGACTGAACGCGGTTTCTGGGACCTCTCCACGGTGATCCTCATCCACACGGTGGCACTTTGTGTCATCAGGTGTTTGTCGCTTGTGTGATGTCCTAGTGGGGTAGAAAGTCACTCAGTCAGTTATTCACGAATCTAATCTTCCCGTCCTTTTTACGATGTAATTTTTCGTTTATTGAAGCCCTACTCTGGCTTTTGCCAGGGGCCGCACTATAGCCTGGCCTTAAATATGGCCTAAAGGCTGAACGCGGTTTCCGGAACCTCTTCACGGTGATCCTCACTCACATGGTGGCACGTTGTGTCATCGGGTGTTTATCGCTTGTGTGATGTCCTGGTGGGGTAGAAAATTAGTCAGTCATTCATTCATGTATATTTCCTTGAATATAATTACATAAAAATAATCTGCACACAAGACAGAGGAGAACGTCTAAAGTTTTAACTACTAGGGCTAGAGCGCAATTGTGTAACCAACCTCAAGTACACATGTGACTTTTCCTGTGGGAAGTTTCGTCAAAGAAACTGTGTACAAAGGTGGTAGACCTGTACCAAAAACTCCGGCTGGCCTACGGAAACGTATCACAGCTGCAGTAAACTTACTTAGGCAACAGATGCGTCTGCGTGTGTGGGGTGAGTTCGGCTACGGCTTAGATGTTTGTCAAGAAGCAGACGACGGCCGTATTAAATATCTATAATCTAAATTGTTAGTTTGTAAGCTTTAGACATTACCTCTCTCTCTCTCTCTCTCTCTCTCTCTCTCTCTCTCTCTCTCTCTCTCTCTCTCTCTCTCTCTCTCTCTCTCTCTCTCTCTCTCGTGCATGTATATTATTACCATATAACGTATATTCGAATGAATGTACGTCAATAATTTACTGAAATACTGATTTAAGAATCGACATTATAGCCCATGGGCATACTCACAGATGTTCCGTCTCCCGCAGCAAATAACTTCGAGTGTAGATGCTAACTGTTCCCGTAGCACACTAATTATACACACTCCGATCTCTTTCTCTCATCCGTCCCGCCTTGCCAGATCCACACTTAATTCAAACATTCTTGCTCAAATTATTTATCTAATCTCGTGTCTTCTACCAAAAGTCGTTCATGTATGGTCTTCAAAATATTTTCCGGCTATCCTCCTAATAACAGGCACATAGTATGGGGGCCAAAAACAGGGCCTCGGTCACGTGTCAATTGTGCACTTCAGGCGACCTAATTTGTGGTTTTCAAGTGACTACCACCACCCCCGAGAGTGTCCCCTGCGCCGCTCACGTGGCCTGGTTTGGGGCTAAACTAGATGGCTGGGACTCACGAGCAAAGCTGCAGGAGACGGGGAAGCGGTAGTCGCCGTAAAACCGCAAATTAGGTCGCCGGAAGTGCGCAATTGACACGTGAGTGAGGCCCTGTGAGGGTCTTTTTGCGGCTGCCATAATATGTGCCCGTTATTCGGAGGATAGCCTATTTTCCTCTTCCAGTACATCAATAAATGAAACTATCTACATCTTTTTGAATAGCCCTAGTGTTTCTGTGTATCCATTTCTTTAGTACTTGAGTACGTGTGTTTTTGTCTCCATGAGATGCTATACTTTTGTGTGTGTTGTAAACGTGTAGACTCAGATGGATTTTCTTATCCCTTGTTTGTTCTTTAACATCAACAGCTGGTAAACTCAACCAGAGTGTGGACTGGCTCAATGCGTCCTTGGCCCTTTCTTTGGCGAGTGGCTTCAACAAGGACGCGCATATCGAACCCGGACCCAGTCTTGGAGCCGTGCGAGCTTTGATTGGGCGCGTCCATTTAGCGGTGAGTTGTTGTTATTACGTACACATCCCTGTATGGGCTCTAGTGTCCCATAGAGCTTGAAAACAAGAACAGACCCACTGCCTACCCTAGCAAGCATGTCGTAATAGTTGACTAATTGGGGCTTCCTTCTACGTCGGAGTATATCTGCCAAATAGGTAAGGAACAACCAACAGCGCAAAAATAAGCCAGTAAAACAATGTACGCACACAACTCCAAAACAGTCAGGACTTTCCGTCGAAGCTTACGGTCAGTGAACAAAGAAAAAGAAGAACAGGAAGAAAGAAGAAGAAGAAGAACAGGAAGAAACAGAAGAAGAAGAAGAAGAAGAAAAAGAAGAAGAAGAAGAAGAAGAAGAGGAAGAAGATGAAGAGGAAGAAGAAGAAGAAGAAGAAGAAGAAGAAGAAGAAGAAGAAGAAGAAGAAGAAGAAGAAGAAGAAGAAGAAGAAGAAGAAGAAGAAGAAGAAGAAGAAGAAGAAGAAGAAGAAGAAGAAGAAGAAGAAGAAGAAGAAGAAGAAGAAGAAGAAGAATTATGTATACAACACTCATGAGTAATTCCTCCTCTTCTTTGCATTTACCTGCTGTACACTCCGGTGGAAAATTCTGGTTCTTTGTCCTCTTCGCAAATTATTCCTCCCCCCATCCCCCCTCCACCTCACCCCACCGCTTAACGGAAGTAGTAGTTTATGATGATGATAATGATGATGAGGATAATGATGATAATGATGATACTGATGATAATGATGATGATGATGATGAGGAGGAGGAGGAGGAGGAGGATAATGATAATAATGAGGATGAGGATAATGATGATGATGATGATAATAATGATAATGAT